TTGGGGGAAGGGAGGGCAGCGGGGAGGAGACCAGCCAGACGGGAGAAGAAAGCCCTTCCCAGGCTAAGTTGGGACCTACAGGGCGCTTCCCCGCGCGCGGCCACAGCCGGTCAGCCTCTGGTGTCGGTCCGGGGGCATCGAAGGCGATGCCTGGAGACCTCCGGGAGCCTTTGGTTGGTGTCTTCCGTAGCCCTCGGCGCGCACTCTCCCGCTTGCAGTGCCCGGAGTGACCTCTCCAGGCCCTGCGGTCGCCTTGGGTGGGCCCTGGGGGGCCCGCCAGCCCTCCCCAGCGTGTGTACTCGGCCTAGCGGTCTTCCTCCTGAGCCTGGGAAGGCAGGCGGGAGGACGGTATCCGAGGCCCGGCTCTGCGGAGCAAAAGGCACGCGGACCCCTAAACGACCTCGAGCATTGCCACAGCCAAGAGGGTGGAGGGAAGGTGTGTGGAGCTCGAGGGGTCTCCCGGGACATAGCCGGGCTCCCACCAGTTGCCAAGGCATCTGCACGCTCTGTCCTGCGACCTAAAGCATGGGGGACGTCCCTTCCATCAGCACCAGGGGACGAAAAGTTAACATGCTGAGGGGCACCGGCACCCACACTTGCTTCCAGGAATATCTGTGCTACAGGCTTCCCTACTTCTTTTCCTTAGCCACTGGAAACCCACTCCTTCTTTCCCCGTTGGGAGACGCGCAGACGGACTCTGTTCCAACCCGAGCCCCTTCTCTCTGCCTTTTAGAAAAAGCGGACTGTCCCTGCTCTCCAGCCCGCTGCCTGCCCCCCAACTCCCCACCCCTAAATGCAGTGGGCTGCAGGCAAAGTCGAAGAGGCGCTGCATCTGGTACTGCCGCCTCCGCCTCCGCCCCAGGATCCTGGCCTGCAGGCCGCTGGGCTGGCTTCTGAGAGCAACCGAAGGTTTTGATCTCCCAACCAAAAGGACCCGCGCCCAGCAATTTGGGAAGTGCGGAAGTGGGGTGAGGCTGGTCTTTGCATGAGGGTCTGGTAGACTGGACCCTTTTCTCCTCCCTTCCAAGCACCCTCAGACCTGGCCAGTGGGTCATCCAGTCGTGCCCATTGCCGAGGTCAGGAGATCTGCGGCTATCCAGGGATCTCGTAGGAAGGTGGCTATAAAAGGAGCCCTGTCCGGGACACAAGCCTTTGGAGAGCGGAAGACTCTATCCAAATAAACATTTGGAACCGGGTGGCTGGTGTTCAAACCCGGCGGTCTGGGGGTTTCTGGACCAAGGAAGGAGAGGAGACACCAGGAGAGGTGTAAAATTCCCACTCCTAGCCACCTTGCTCTCTCCAGTCCCTGCCTCTGCGTGTCCTCCTAATGCTGTTCCCGTCCGCATTTTCCATTGTTAATCGAACTTTCTAAAGAGGCGTCTGCAGCTTGCAGGCTGGTGCTCTTCCTGCGTTTCCTCAATCACGCTGACACCCCCAGGCCCCAGCACTGAGTTCCTGCCGTCCACATTAAGAAAGGCCTCGCAAGAGTTCGAGAATCCTCAACACACCTTAACTTTGCGCCTAAACACAGAGTGAAAACAGCGGTCAATCTCATTCTGAATTGGGAAGAGCCTTCCCTCCGGCCAGCCGGACCCAGGCGGAAGGAAGGGAGGGGTGCAGCAGGCGCGAACTGCCGGGAGGAGACGTCTTAGATCGCTGCAAATAGCGCCAATGCGGATGCGTCTCTCCTGTCAGTAACTGGTTTAGTCTAAGCCATTTCATGTAAAACTCACGAAGGAGAGGAAGCATGCTAAGAACACAAAATTTAAACCGCAATAATGAAGAGATTTCCTAGAATGAAACGCCGATTACAGAACAAAATCAGAGAAACCCAAACTTGTTGAAGTTTACATTCCCTTGTGCTGGGGCAGGGATGGGACTTCAAGGGTTGGAGCAGGAAAGGACCGAGAAGCCCAGACCGAGACAGTCAACCAAAGCGGGATGGAGAGAGGACCCATGGCACCGGAGGCTGCATAGTTTTGGTTAACCAAGCAGTGCCTGGGCTGACCCAGACGCATTTATATGAACCATACCTTTCCTTCCTGTAAGAAGAAAAAATTTCAAGATTCGTGTTTTTTTAATAGGGAGTGAAAGTGAGTGAAGAACTCACCCTGTAAGAAGGAACCCCAGTGAGGGAGGAGCCATCCTAAACAAGGCTCTGTTTCAGAGACAAACACAATTTTCCTTTTAAACCCTATCTGCTAACCAGAAATTAAGGTATTCCTCCCAGGGATTGAGAAATTGGCATAATTTGCTATCATATGCATTCTTACTCAAGAGATTTGTATAAATCAGTGATTAACACAAAGCTCAGAGAAGCTTAGCTGTAATGCAGTGGAAAGAGCACTGACTTTGGAGTTCCAGGCCCAGGCTGCAGGCCAGCTTTGTCACTTGTCCCTCCATGACTTGTAGCCAGTCACCCAGTCTCTGAGTCTTGGTTTCCTCACCTCAAAAGGAAGATGATACCTGGGCCACCTGGTGGATGACAAGATGGTACCTGCAAGGTCTGTAACAAACAGATGCAGGGCTTTAGCAATTGTAGACCTGGGAATAGTTTCCAGGGACAGAAGTGGGGTATCTCAGAAAGAATTTTGGAGGGGAGCCTTCCCGCTGATATAACTTAAGAAGGCCCCCAAGCTCCATATCATTCTGGAGTTCAGGGTCTACAGGGGCAGCATGCAGAGAGTCAGCAGACCGCCTCCGGCCCTAACTGCTCTCCAATGCCCACTGCCTTTCCATGACCCGGCCAGCGCTCATAACACTCAGCATACTGTAAGTGGGATTTCTTGCAAGTTTAGAATTTAGGCAAAATAGATACTACTGTCACTTGGATGGACAAGGGAGCTGTTTAAAAATCCCTTGTAATTTAATCAGCTGAATTGGTAGACACTAAAATAATCTGGTGTTTTTTTGTCTTAATGAGTACCTGTGGACTTCCTAAAGGCCCAAGAAAATTGGAAGTATTTTTCTGGAAACTGCCTCCAAAGCTTCCATCCTATTCTTAAAGGATGACCCTATAACCCCAAAACTGGGAGCTGCTTGTATAGAAGGTTATCACTGGTCCTGCCTGGATTTTAGGGTTAGTGTCTTTTATTCTTCAGTCTCCAGGTCCTAAAACCTTTTAAGGCCTGCTCTTAAAAGGTTGGAGCTCTGCTCTCTGAGATCTAAGTACATATAATTTTCAAGCACAGAGAATCAGGGTCCAGGCTAAGTGACAATGAGTGCTGAATGTTCCCAAAGCCCATTGCCCACCACCCCCACCTACAAATGAGATGATTGTCCTTCCCCCCCACCCCCCAGTTTCTCCCCTGGGCTGATGCCTTTCCACTTCATGCACACACACACAGACAAAGACAGACCCATACACACTGAACTCTATGTCAGGAGAGCTCTTTTAAGATCCTATCTATCCTCCCCACTCCGGCTTCTACTTTATTAAAATAATTATATTTTAAGCACTTGAAGCATTCATTTAGTGAACACATTATATTAACTTTTATGTTTAGTTACGTATTTCGAAGTTATTCCACACAGAATGACAAATGAGGGCAAGAGAAAAAAATACTATGAAATATACGGAGACTCACCCCCCAAAACCATTCAGCAGTCAGTGAGAAAGAAATTCTTAGAAAGTGGAAACAACTGTAAACCCCCTGCCCCAACCCAATCAAAACATCCCACCCGGAAAAGGGCGCCTTGTTTCTTTTTTCTATTGCAAATGAGTGGTAAACTGAGTTCAGCTTGGCCGTGTTTTCTTAGCTGACTCTCGGCTACAATCAAGCCATTTTCGGACACATTCCCATGTAGGTACCAGGGGTGCTCTGGAGGAAGCTGTCGACGCCTGTTCAGCTAATTTAGGTTTTCTTTGTCTAATTACTGTGGAGCTTAGGGAGAAGGAGCCGGCTCAGGGCAGTAAACTGACACTCGGTCTCTGTGTGTGGTATCCAGGCAGGGTTTGATGGAAAAAGCCTGCTTCCACTCAACCTCAGGTCACTGTCTGGGGCCAGCCCCGGCCCACCCCCCTCCCACCGACCCCTCCCCTCCCCACCCGCCCTCTCTGCATCTACAGCTCCACCAGGGCACTCAGCCGGCAGCAGTCCCCCAGCACTCCGGGGGTACACAGGGCTCCTGCCAACCCCAAGAAGCCTGCCTCTGCGGTGCAGCTGAAGACTCTTTGCCTGGCGGCTCCCTCCTGATCACTGCACAACCTCCCCTTCTCTTGCCTCCCCCATCTCCCCAGGCTCCCCAGCAGGCACACCCAAGCATCTCCGTCCTTTCAGCCTAGATGCAGTGGGGTGCCCAGCTCTGCCTCCCGTTTGTTCGGCTGGTCTTCAGAACCTCCTTTCTGGGCCTCCCCCTTCAGCCCTTGGGTGGCCCCTCCAGCTCCGGCCTCCTGCTCTCCTCCTCCCTCTCCCAGCTCCTATCCCCTGGTCGGACTACATTTCCCTGCACGTGTAATCCAATAACTAACTGTCGGGTCTCATTGGAAATGATTGCTCCCGAGGGCACATCTCTCTCTGAGCCTGACTCTTGCTTAGGGAGGAATTAGCCACAACTGGGGAGAAGTGTTCTCAGACAGGAGTTAGCTGAGACCCAGCACAGTTTTGGGTGGGCAATGTTAAGACAGAGGATGTAAACCTAGTGACAGCTGCACACCCCTTCAGAACTGAATATAAATACAACCATCTCACTTATCTCAGGGTCTTTCTCTTTTATTTTTCCTTCTTTTCCTTTTTCTTTTTTTTTTTTTTTTTCTTACAAAACACTAACAGGGGTGGGGGGTAAGGACGTGAAGCAAATACAACCATGAGTCCCATGAGATCCAGGTTTCCAGAGTCTTTAAAACTTGGCCTAGGTTTCTCAGTCCAAATCCCTCTGCTCAAAGTTCTGAAAACGTCCACGAGCGCCAGCGGCCCACAACTTTGGGGCGCCCGCAGTTGCCCTAACAATTGTCGGGAGCCTGCAGGCCCTGCCAGAAAGAGAGAGGATTGGCACGTTACCTTTGGGCGTCTGGCACCCCGGCGTGTGGCTGAGGGCGGCAAAGTCTAAACGAAGTTGACAGATGGAGTCAGTATCGGCCCTAGGGAGGGCGGCCAGGGAGGCTCCGGGCGGCCGCACCCGCCGCAGCACCACTCGGCCCCGCGGGCTAGGAGGAAGAAGGGGGGAAGGGGGGATTGGGGGGCGGCGCAGGGTCCACTCCGCGGGGGGCGGCCGGGTCCTGGGACGGGGAGCGGGGGCTGCTGTAGGGGGCAAACAGAAAGAAGATTTCACAAAGTCAGAGGTGGTCGAGTTTTGCTAGGGGTGGGGGTCGTCCCCCAGCAAGCTGAGAGTTGAGTCTGTGATCCCTCCGTTTGAAAGAGGGTGGGTGAGGGAAAGTGGAAGAGGCCGAGAGAGGAATGAAAAGAGCGAGGAGACCCTGGAGTGCGGGGAGCGAGATAAGCAAGGGAGGCGGCCGCCAGGTTGGGAGGGGGAGGAGTGAGCGCCGCGGCCCGAGCGCGCCCTCCCCGCTGCGGCGCGGCGCGAGGAGGGGGCAGGGCGGGGTAGGCGGAGGGAGGGAGGGAGGGAGGGAGCGAGGAGAGCGGCCGGGGAGGGCGCGGGAGGGAGGAAGTCGGAGAGACAGAGCGAGGAGCGCTCCTGAAGGGAGACGTCGGGCTAGTCCCCGGGGTCCCGGCCGCGGTCCCATTCGCGCGCTCAGTTGCCCGGCGCCGGCCGCTCGGCCTCGAGGCCTGGGAGGTCGTTGCGCAAGGCAGGGCCCGCGGCTCGCGGAGTGATGCGCCGGGCGTTGCCTCCCGCCAGTCACCGCCTCCAGAAGCCCCAAAGGAGCTGAGGGAGGCGACGCCGAAGCGCTGGCCCGGAGCGGCCACGGCTGCACCCCGGGCGGCGGGCTAGGGCGCTCGCCAGGCTTCTGGGCCGACCCCGCTCCGGCGCCTCCGCTCCCCGCCCGGGGCCCGCCCTCGCGGCCCGGCCTCGCTCCCGGGTCCCAGATGACCACCGAGGGCGGG